CTCTAAGCGAATATTAAACGCCAAAACAATGGCTCAGTCTTACACAAAAACCACTTCCGACCCCAAAACCTGGACTCCATTCGCAGAAAGTGGTGCTTTACATTTGGTGGGACATCAAAGAAGTAATTCATTTCGAACTCCTCAATCAACAACGAAATGTCAATGAAGAGATCTATAATCAGCAACTGGAACGTTTAAGTCAAGCACTTCATCAGAAACGCCCTTCACTCGTCAATCGGAAAGGTGTTCATCTCCACGACAATGCACGTCCACATGTGGCACGTTTGACGCAACACAAGATTTTGGAATTGGGTTGGGAAGTTCTCCTACACCCGTGCTATTCTCCAGATATGGCACCATCAGATTACCATGTTTTTCGTTCGCTGCAACATCATCTTAATGGGAAAACGAATGCAAATGTGAAGGTGTTAAAGAGGACATCAACATGTTTTTTTGCTTCAAACCAAGTGATTTCTTTAATTATGGCATTAACAACCAGATTGTAAGATGGAAAATCGTCATCGATAAGAATGGAGACTATTTCATTTAATAAATGTTTTGTTTTGATATACAAGTTGTTCTGATTTTTTCATCTAAAAAAAACCGACATTAATTTCTTGACGACCTAATATTTCTTTTGAGCCTTACAGAAAACAATCATTAAATTGTAGAGAAAAGGGATACGTAGAGGGCACTACAATCACAGGAGAAACCTTTTAACTTACCATTCCCAGGAAGATGTTTCCCGCTGAATTCATAGATTCACAAGCTGTTGTTCCTACCGTAGCTTGAAGAAACCATCCGACTTTCATTACCACCCACTGCATCACACCGTAGTAGTAAAGTAACGAAATGCAGAAGCTGAAGAAAAATACCACAGACAGCACCTGAAAAAAGAATGAGTATATCAAGACAAGGTGTAGAATGATGACGGGTAAAAAAAATGCAGACTGATATAAAAAAATTCTCACTGATTGTAAGATGTTTTTATCACAAAGCTACACTTTTAGCTATTTGTGCTCCGTCCACCGCGGGGATCGAAACCCGATGTTTAGCATTATAAGCTCACAACGTTATCACTGAACCACTCGAGGCCTTTTCGGGTGTGAAACGTTAACATAGTTAAAAAAGCATTTCTTTGAAATATAGCCTATAGACTACGTGGTGAAAAAAAAAAAAATGGGAATAGTAAACGCAGTAGAATGTTTGTGTTTATTTTTTTTTGTCCAAACATAAATGCCTCAATACGTGAATACTTAAAAAATTTTAAACGAATAAATTCAACATTCATAAATCTAGTAACTGATTAAAACTTTGTCAAGTGGCATTAGCTTGTTTGTACTTAAGCACAAAGCTACACAATGGGCTATCTGTGCTGTGCCAACCACGAGTATCAAAACCCGATTTTTAGTGTTATTATCCTACAGACTTACGACCGAGCCGCTAGGGGGAAAGTGGAATTAGACATATGGTTCAATAGTTCTTAAGCCTATAGCTTAAGGCATCATTTTTATAACAGATAGTTGGTATCACATTAGGTCATTTCTAAATAGTAAAGTACTCTGAGTTCCCTGTACGATCAATTTTCATATTCAAAACAGAAAGTCAGTGAGTTCACAGCTGTGTAGGTTTATTTAACAAGTGAGTTCACAGCTGTATAGGTTTTTAACAAGTGAGTTCAAAGGTGTGTAGGTTTTTTTTTAACAAGTGGGTTCACAGCTGTGTAGGTTTTAACAAGTGAGTTCACAGCTGTGTAGGTTTTAACAAGTGAGTTCACAGCTGTGTAGGTTTTAACAAGTGAGTTCACAGCTGTGTAGG